GCTCGTAGGGACCGAAGTGAATCGCGGGGACCACTGTCAGGTCTCCACGGGTCCAAATGCAAATTACAGGTGCGGGGGTATGTTTAGGACCAAGGTTTAGGCTGGTTTTAGGGTCAGGTAAGTTTCTGTGAGGTTAATTTTAGAGTAAATGGTCAGAGTTAGGATATAAAGTCTAAAAAACATGAATGGAAGTCAATGGAAGGTCCCCACGGGGTTCAAGAAACGAACTTGTGTGAGTGTGAAAAACTATTTTATTTATCATTATTTAACCCATTGAGATCTCAGATCTATTCTTCAAGGAGAGGCCTGGGCCTGAAGGCAACCTATTGTACATGTTTTTGTGTTGTGGGGGAAACCGGAGTACCCGGAGAAAACCCATGCAAGGAGAACATGCAAACAGAAGGACCCCAGGTCTGAACCAGGGATCAAACCCAGAACCTTCTTGCTGCAAGGCGTCGGTGCTAACCACTGAGCCATTGTGCCGTTATTAAAATGGTTTCCGGTCTTTTTGGTGTTGATGAGATTGAAATGATAGAAGCTGGTTACTTTCTTCATACGTCTCACTGCTGAGTTACTGAAAGGCTATTGAGACACATCTGCTGCCTGAGAGGTTTATAATCTGGCACCAGTTCTCATTTTTGTTTATTATTCGTCTTTTATATATATTATATTATCAAAGCTGTTATGAAAGTCTTTTATAATTTTAAAACAGCCCCTCATTGTGAGCGTAAATTTTAGAGTTTTTAATTTGGCAGTAAATAGTCCTATCATCTGACAGAATCATTCCTTTGTTCTGTTGTATCGAATTGTTGAATCTCAGTCTGACAAATCAAGCCCACACTACATACATACATGATTTAAAACTGATCAGCAGTGGTGGGCACCAGCCCGCTAAAGCACAAATTCGCTAATTGCGGATCTAAATATTTCATCTGCGCTTTAGCGGTCTTACTAATATTTATAATTCATGAGCGGATTTGCGCTTTCTAAAATTAAAATGCAGTACCACTAATAACTAATTATCTACCAGTCATCATTATCTTGAACAGTTGAAGGTATGGCTGTCAATGAAACACAACACGTGATCTATCCTACAGCTCCCCACCCAGATAAACACACTTATTGAGAAAGTACACATCCTTGTTGACTGTTGCTTTCGGTCACGGTTCTCATTTCCCACAATGCTTTGTGTCTGCAAATGTAGCAGGAAGGCAGTTTTTAGAACTCCCTGTCCCAGCAAAAACGGTTAATGTTTGTAATCCATACTAAAATTTTGTGTGTATTGATTTATTTTACTTTACAATTGGAGCTCCTTTTTAAAAAAATTAACTTTAAACACTGGAGCGTTAAATTACTTGACGTAATTGGTCGAAGCAATCGGCCAACGCAGTTAGAGAAGCAGAAATGAATTAATGATGTTATGCTGATGAAGACTGACATCTAGTGGTCAACTGGAACAACTACATGGAAAACTTTAAAATCCAAGCTCTTATTTTGAAGTGAAGATAGTTTCCTGTACTCCGTGCTTTCGTTTCCCGTCACAAATCAAATCCGTCAGGTACCCAGAATGCATTGCTTCAGTTTTCCAATAAACAGTTTTAAAATTACTTTATTGATGCTTCTTTAATGAAAGAACCACGGCGGCAGTGTGGTGGGTGGTCACCAATTTTTAAAGGTGGGCATTGTCCCCCCATTTAGACATGTATTGCTTTGTCCATAAACCAGAGATGCACAATTCTGTCAGAGGTTCCTATAAGTAAACAGCTGTGTGACAAATCATGTGCTCTGTGAGAGTGTGTAACTGTTACTAGATGGTGCTGAGCTGCCTCTTGTAGTTTTAAAGGAGAAAAGACTTAAAGTACAGACAACACACACATATTTGTATTGCTACCCTTATCAGGACATTGTGTTGCCTTCCATTTATTTATGTAGCCTAGCTGTTACCATAACCCCCCAGCCCTCACCTGTACACGCCTTACCTCAACTCAGTTCACACCTTAGACCTAAACTCAACTTTCATAGTGTTAGGATTAGATGTTGGTCTCCAGAAGGATTAATGTGGTTGATTATTATAAAAAAGTAACAAATACCAGGTAAATGCTACAATACTAGCCTCTTACGAATGTGTTCTTCACTGCTATTTGACTATACTGTTTATTTAAAGTACAAATCAATATTTTTAATAGTCTCAGTGACAGAATAAAGAAAATTCAGAAGTGAATGTAGAAAAACAAACAAACAAAAAACTCTCAGTGGAGCTAAAAAGTAGATCTTGCTGGAAGTTCCATCTAAACAGCTTGTAGTTATATAAACTGGACTGAAGCAGGACTTTCTTCAGTCACAAGAGAAGCAGCAGCAGTTCATTCTTAAAATCAAGTGTTCACATTTGGTGGGATTTGGTCCTGTAAGACAGTGGTTCCCAAAGTTGGGGTCAGGACCCAAAGTGGGGTCCCGAAACATCAAGGTGGGGTCCTGAAAAGATTTTTTGAATTAATTACATTTTTGCCTTAGTTGTTAAAAATGATTGAGGTTAGTATATTTGAAATGGATAAATGTAGCATAAAAAATATCGTTACTGTGCCCATGTTTTGTTAACCTGATACAAATATTTATCATCCAAAAATATCTGGGGCCACAGGTCTCTGCTACTGTTATTTTGTGGGTCAAAAGCTGAAAAGTTTGGGAACCACTGCACTTTGGTTCCCAAAGTTGGGCTTGGGACCCAATTATGGGT